TTTTTATTTTTTTTGTGTTGCAGACCAAAAAAAAATACCCCAATTTCCACCCAAAAAAAAAAAAAAAAAAAAAAAAAAAAAAGACCTACTACAGGACACCGCATCTGCAGCCAATTAGAGGAGGACTGGTGAATAACGGCGTGAACCTTCCTCCGAGACAGCCCCGTGGGCCGGGGAACCCTCTAGTGTTACATTTTAAGCATCTTTACCTTGCCGTTATCCATCATAAACTAGAGTCAACTGGTTTTCAGCTAATACGTATTCTGCCCCCCTCCCCGCCCCTCTTTTTACATCCACCACGATAATACTTTGAAGAACAAAAAGTCTCAATAGTCAAACATTAACTTTAAGAAAAAAGGGTCGGGGGGGAAAGGAACGGAATAAGCAAAATCTGAACAAGTTTGATGTAATGAAGTTGAAACGTTAAGGCAGTTTCACTTCACCTTCGCACTTAAGAAACACCGTCCCGCTACTTAAAATAGGATGAAATAAAACAAAAAATAAAAATTAAAGGTGCAGCCAGCTATCGAGCGCGTGACCATGCTTCAATGAAAACAAACACGCGGAAATGATTTATTGCCCACCAGCACGCGCATTTACCCAGAGCAGCTTAAGGAAAACTTGCCACTCACCTGTCGTTACTGCGGTCGATCTCTCTCTCTCTTGTCGATATCCCTCCACCGAGAAAAATCACTCCTCTTGCTATCTGAAATAATTAGTCCGGTCAGGAGTCGAAGGTGTTTTCCACTGATGATGACAGTGAGTTATTTTTTGACGGTGTCTGAAAGAGCGCCGGGTGCAGGCATGGAAATGCTCCTGAAATGAGAGAGCCGCGGCCAATAAGCAGCAAGAGAAAACCTCCCCTTTGCCTGCAGTGTGAGGCAACTGAACCATGAAATAAGAGAGAAGGCAAGAGGGGGAGAAAGAGTCTCATAAATCTAATTTGTAAAGTCTTTACGTACGATAAGAACGCAACAGTTTGCTTTTAAATAGCTTTACTTTTCGTCGGAAGAACAATAAACGTGAGGTGTTGTGCACTGAGGGGAAACAATGTGGCAAGAGAACGTGAAAAGCCATCCAACTGTAAAAGCACACAAACAGCCCACCTAAACTGAAAACCTGGGGAAAGATGGAAAAACTTTGCTCATCTTAGGGATGTTGGGGTTGTACATGAATTGTGCTCTTGGCAAGCAGCCTCTTCCTTGTCTTTGAAAGTGGACTACAACAGACTTTCAGAAAGAACACCTAGCCGTTTTTTTACTTACTGCCTGATATTAAATCAGATTATATTTTTAGGTTAGGATTATCAGAAATAATTGCTGTTTCCTAAATGCCAGAATAATAGGTGGGGGGGGGGGGGGAATTTTTTTAAAAGAGTTTGGGGTTTAAAAAGGTTGGGGT